CTCTCTCTCTCTCTCTCTCTCTCTCTCTCTCTCTCTCTCTCTCTCTCTCTCTCTCTCTCTCTCTCTCTCTCTCTCTCTCTCTCTCTCTCTAACCCATGCCATATGTCTCATAGAAATCGGAGGGCCGACCTGGCCGTCCTCAACCAGGCCAAAAACGAGGTAAGGGACCTCGCATAATCAAGCGAGTTGATGGGGGCCACCTTTTGGCTGAAGTACTCAATCGGATGCCAATCTACACTGTCGTGCTGCTCCAATACTGCACCAATGTCATAGCCAGAAGTGTTCGTAGTCACTCTCGTAGGCAAGGTGGGGTCGTGGATGCTGAAAATGGGAGCCATGAGCATCGTCATCTTAAGCTTATGGAACGCATTGTGTACTTCACCGGTGAAATGGAAGCGCAGCTTCGGGGACTGAAGTTGTGACAAAGGTGCGGTGATCCGCGCATATCATGAATGAAGCGTTGGTAGTACCCGCCCAATCCCATGAAGGAGCGAACCTTCGTGGTGTTGGTGGGTTCCAACCAATCTTGGATGGCCTGAATTTTGTCGGCGAACGGACGGATGCCTTGCGGCGTCACAACGTGACCCAAGTACTCAACCTCTTTTTGCACAAACTCGCACTTGCCTCGATTGGCCTTGTACTTGGTCGTATGTAACCTTTCCAAAATTTTGCGTAGGTGCTTGAGATGCTCGTCAAAGGTCCGACTATAAACCAAGATGTCGTCGAGGTAGATAAGCACAAACCGGTCCAACGTGTTTTGAAATTTTGTCGTCGTGTCGCTTGGAAAGTGGGGCATTCGTGAGGCTGAATGGCATTACGACCCACTTGAAGTGCCCATACGACGTCTTGAATGCGATCTTGTAATGGTCTCGCGGATGGATCTCGATTTGGTGGTAATCAGATTTGTGGTCCATTTTCGAGAAGTACATGGCGCCTTCCAAGAGTTCGAGATGCTCGTCGATGCGTGGGAGTGGGCTGGCATTCTTAACGGTTTGAGCATTAAGCTTGCGGTAGTCAATGCAGAGTTGCAAGTTCTTGTTCTTCTTTCGGACAAAGAGAACGGATGCACCGTAGGGCGCGCAACTAGGGTGAATCCAGCCTTTAGCAATGAGCTCATGGAGTTGCGTACGGAGTACCTCAAGTTCCTCCTCGCTCATGCGGTAGATACAATTGCGAGGAGGTATGGCCTAGTTCCAGAGGATGATCACGTGGTGAATAGGTCGATCCGGTACGATTCTGGAGGGGGTTTTGAAGACGTCCTCGAAGGAGTCTAGAAGCGGTACGATTCCTAGATCCGGTGGTACTTTCGATGTTGGCTCGTCCGGTGGAGGGAGGGCATGCAAGAACACAAAGGCCCATTTCCTCGAGGATGATCTCGTGGCGATTAGATCGATCCAGTGTGATTCCGGAAGAGGCTTCGAAGACGTCCCCAAAGGAGTCGAGAAGCTGTACGATTCGTGGATCCAGTGGTACTTCCGATGTTGGCTCGTCCGATGGAGGGGGGAATGCAAGAACACAAAGGCCCATTTCTTGAACGTCGTGCCATGCGATGGAGTTGCGAATGCTCACTGCGGAAACCACGTGACAACCAATCGAAGGGTGAGGTGGAGGAACCGTGCATGGGACTAACATGATGTTCTGATCACAAACGTTAACGGTGCGGCGATAGAAGTTCATCGGGTGGTCCTCACTTCGCAGCCACAACATGCCCAAGATCATGTCGAACTTGGTGTCCAAGATGTCGAAGGACAACCTCGCGTGCGTGCGTGGCAAAGTACACAGGCACCGCTTCAATGCACCGGTCAATTGACTTGTGTGTGTGACTGTTGGCCCACATAACTTGTGTGGGCTGCGACTTCCTTCGAACATGCGGCCCGAGGCCGGCGCACACCATGAAGTCTTGGCTGATGTAATTGCGAGTAGCTCCACAATCGATCAAGGCGCTGCAGGTCGCCTTCCCGATCTGAATGCAGATATAAAGTAATGGCACGTCGATGTCATCTTACCGTTGCGTGGCGTACTTGTGGTCAATCTTCGCAAGGGACTTGCGAAGGTCAACAACCGCTACTCCATCTTCCGTCAACGGAGCTGGTATTGCAGCGTGCAAATACTTGCGCAAATCTGCAATCAAAGCGTTGCAATGCGGTTTCGACAAGGAACCGGACGGGGGAAGAGGCAACTATTGGAAATCTTCCATAGTCAATGGGTTGAGGTTCTCAAGTCTCGGCCGAACTGACGAATCCCAAACGGTAGTAATGACGACGAATAAGTCGGATAGTCTTGCACGAGGAGGGGTAGGTCCAACGGAGGGACCACCTGGACAACATAGTCGTCAAACGTAGTGCACGAACTTGCGACATCCGCATGCTTCCCGGATGTGTAGGAGGTTACCAGCAAGGCAACCGTGTCCAGTGAATTGGAAGTGGAGCCGCCTCACTTCCTGTGGGCCGAACATCCTCCTTGCCCTTGTCGGGGCGGTGGGGATGTGCTTTGTGCTACTACACCAAAACAGCAACCGCACTTTTGTTGGAGTTTGAATTGTTCCTCTGTGAGTTTAAACTTTGTCCAAGGCTGGCTCGGCTGTCCAGCTCCTGACGTTGACGCGGATGTTGCCTTTTTTTTTCTTGAGTTGGTGCCCCGCGGCGGGAGGGCATTGACTTGGTCTCCTTCACTTGACGCTGAAGTTGATGCCGGGTCATGACTGGGTCCACTTGGTTGGACTGCAGCAACGGGCTGCATCCGTTGCCGCTTGCCTTTCTCCATAAAGTTCAGCTGCCCTTGCTTTTCATTAGCGGCACGCCGATTTGTTTGGATAATGGAGCGATCTCACGTCATGATCGAGTTGAATTTGTCGCACTCCACTTGTCCAAGGGCTTGAGTCAAGGAGTCTACCAATCGTTTGAAGAACTCGCGTCGAATGTGTTCGAATGGCAAGTTCATGTCCGGAATGGCAACTATCTTTTGCCATTCGGTCAACCAATCGTGTGTGGGCTAACTTCCATGGAACATCTGGAATACTTGGTTGATGCCTTTCGCCTTGGTGTCTTGTACGATAAATCGTGCTTTCCATAAGGCCTCGATGACGTCCCAATCCATCTTGGTTTGCAGGTTCTCCACCTTGACGCCCTCCTTGACCGCCAGGTCGTTGAGCCCAGATTTAGCATGCACCTGTGGTATTAAGGTAGAGCGCTCCAATCTTAAGTCGCTTGGGTACTTCGTGAAGTCCTAGCTTCGTGGTGAACCCTTGTCACCAAGCAAGCGGGTCAGTCATGGTGTAGTCATCGAACTTGTCAATTCGAAAGGTCGGCATCTTGTACGGATGCGAGTTACTGCTGCTGGCTGGACGCTGCTGCAGTGTGCGAACGTCGACCTTTAGCGTTGTGAGCTGCTCGCTGATCGTCATTGGTCCCATGAATGTGCCAAGGACGTCGATCGTGGCGACTACATGGTCAATCCGCTGCTCCAGCTGTCTTGTCGACGACTGGCTGGTACTAGGTCCGCTGCCTGCTGTGGCGGCGTTCTTGCAGCTGGTACCAGTTTGCTGGTCCCTTTCGTTGACAATCACCCATGTCAAGCGCTGTTGTAGTTACCCGTGTTCTGACGCAGACTAGGGGCCCGAAACTGCGCCCAGACTACACAGACCGAACACAGCCTGCGCCAGGCAGTGCGACCACGCACTGCCCCCTGGAAAGTCAAGGGTCCAAGTCAACTGTCAGGTCAAAGGTACTGCGCTCAGGCCCTTGGTCAGATACACTCGATGTGCGCAGGTACCCAGACAGCATCAAGGTGACAGGGAATTTTGTTACAGGCCAATCTGGGCCGTCATTTGCGTTGAGATCTCGACGGCTGAGGGATGCAGCACCTAGGGTCCAGACCCCGCGTCAACGCTACATAAGCGTTGACCTCCTGGCTTCAAGAAACATTCTGTCTTGTGTCAATGCTGATTTCATACGTTGACAACGACGCTAGCGCGACGCTGCGACGTTGGCTGGACGCTGGCTCTACGCTGGCAACTGGCGAACTACGGCGACGCTTTGCTGGCTCGGCATGGTGGCTGGCTTGCAGTTGTCTTCTGGGCATGCTGACGTGGCAGTTGCCACGCGCCGCCGCTGACGTGGCCGCTGCCACGTATATTATTATTGTTGACGTGGCGAGGCTACGCGACTGGTATTGCTGTTCTATTTCGACGACATTTGGGAGGAGATCATGATTGTGGGGCGATAGTGGATACGTACCTGGTTATCTTGATGTCGACATTGCTCCAGCTCGCTGATGAGGACTGATTGACGTGCCACGTGGCACATTGTGATAGAACTTCAAATGCGAGTTCAGATTATTGATTATTGAGGTGGTGATGGAGGAGGGAGCCCGAAGCAGAAGTGGGCATTGTCTTTTATTCTTCTAAGTCTAATCTCCCTCCTCTCTCCT